GACACAAACACAGACACACACTCACATGCACACATGCTCACACACACACACTCACACAGACACACACGCACACGCGCTCACACACTCACACTCACATTCACACACACACACACACACACAGACACACACACTCACACACAGACACAAACACAGACACACACTCACATGCACACATGCTCACACACACACACTCACACAGACACACACGCACACGCGCTCACACACTCACACTCACATTCACACACACACACACACACACAGACACACACACTCACACACAGACACAAACACAGACACACACTCACATGCACACATGCTCACACACACACACTCACACAGACACACACGCACACGCGCTCACACACTCACACTCACATTCACACACACACACACACACACAGACACACACACTCACACACAGACACAAACACAGACACACACTCACATGCACACATGCTCACACACACACACTCACACAGACACACACGCACACGCGCTCACACACTCACACTCACATTCACACACACACACACACACACAGACACACACACTCACACACAGACACAAACACAGACACACACTCACATGCACACATGCTCACACACACACACTCACACAGACACACACGCACACGCGCTCACACACTCACACTCACATTCACACACACACACACACACACAGACACACACACTCACACACAGACACAAACACAGACACACACTCACATGCACACATGCTCACACACACACACTCACACAGACACACACGCACACGCGCTCACACACTCACACTCACATTCACACACACACACACACACACAGACACACACACTCACACACAGACACAAACACAGACACACACTCACATGCACACATGCTCACACACACACACTCACACAGACACACACGCACACGCGCTCACACACTCACACTCACATTCACACACACACACACACACACAGACACACACACTCACACACAGACACAAACACAGACACACACTCACATGCACACATGCTCACACACACACACTCACACAGACACACACGCACACGCGCTCACACACTCACACTCACATTCACACACACACACACACACACAGACACACACACTCACACACAGACACAAACACAGACACACACTCACATGCACACATGCTCACACACACACACACACACTCACACACACACACACACACACACACACACACTCATGCACTCGCACATGCACACGCACACACACTCAGACTCAGACACACGCTCACACACGCACACGCACTCGCACAAAGCTGCTTTATTAATTTGATGAAGAATACAGTAAAACAGTGAAATATGATTCTAAAGCACTGCTGCTGAGAGACAGACAGCAGGGAGAGGCTGAGGAGTGAATGACTCCGCCTCCAATTATCACCTCAACCAATCAGCACTGCGCACTCAAGCATCCTCAGCCAATCACTGCAGCATGCACCAGCAGTGTTTTCTGACTGTACTATGGCTATGCTCAGAAGACTCGAAAAGGTAGACAGGAAGTGTTATAGATCAGGTTTCAGGTCTGTGCGTGACACTCTCACCTGCGCTGGAATATCCACGTTATGTTGATTCTCAGGAATCAGTCTGTAATAGAAACGCTGAAGAGAAAATGTCACGACCTCTTCCTAGAAACGGCAGCGAGAATCGAACCTCAGATAGTTCCCTATAAAGTTATCAGACACGTAGAGTATCCGCTAAGAGAAGAACAGCTGTGATCAAATACAGCAGCTCCATCCGAAGTGTTTGACGCCGGTATATTTATCATGAAAACACACTGAAATCAACATCAGACCGTTTCCACACATCAGTCTAAAGCTGATCTGATTCACGCTACACAAACACTGCAGAAACTCACTTCTCTTGCTTTCCAGCACAAATAACATTCATATATCAAGATGCATTTACTTGAGAAGCAAAATGACTGAAGATATTAAGTGTTGTTTTCTCAAAAAAATATCAAAATGAAGTGTGTTTAAGATTAAAACAACAACAATAATGTTTCCCCTTTAAATTATGATTTTGTTTTCTGACCCCACTGGCAGATATTTGTTCTCATTTTAAGCATAAATTAACTTCATTCTGCATCTTCAGTCATTTCACTTCTCCAGTGAATGTTTCTTGACTCATGACTGTTTAGATATGTGTACTGGAAAACAAGAGGAAGAAAATGATTGTTTTGTTTTTTTTGCGGTGAACACAGAAGCTCATGACTCTCGACTTCAGTTCATCTTAACATGCACACTGCTAAGCATTCAAATGCACAATAAATGCAGTCAATTTATATTAGAATGGCTTATTTTTATCAAAGATTTTCACTCTTGGTTATATTAGTAAAAGTACCTTAACAAAATCAGTCCACCATCTTTGATGTGTTTGTTTTCAGTTTGGATCGGATCTCCATGAAGGACAGGAAGTGGAGAAACTCTCAGCACTTTCACTGCTCACCACTTGGTGGCGATGTTGTGCTGCAGCTTTACATTTAATTATTTATTACATTGATTTTCATTTATTTATTTCCCTCATTCTGACTGTTATATATTACACACAGAATAAACACTGGCGCGTACACACGCGCACACACGCGTACACACACACACACACACGCACACACACACACACGCACCCACACACACACGCTTTAGAGGATAATTCCTCCTCTGTGTTTGTGAATGTCACAGCTACTCTATTGATTATCTGAGGTACAGCTTTGAGTAAATGTGAGGTCAGTGTATGTCTGAATCAGATCAATAATCCAGCCACCTCTGACACACACACACGTGTTCGTTTTTTATCATGGTGGGTCTTTACAATGACTTCTATATGCTTTTACACTGAGCTATTGATATTTGCTATCCCATAAATCCTGCACAAATCTTTCTGCATCTTTACGTCCTCATTAAGACGTCTAGAATTAAATGTGACTCTCAAACACTCATAAATTTGCATCTTCATGTATGAATGTATTCTCTGGTGTCTGATGGTGCGTTCAGCTCACATCCTCCATTAAATCCCCTGGAAAAGCAGCCTGAGGAGGTCCGCTGGTCTCAGTTTGTTGGTTTTGAAGGAGTTTTGGGTAGCTAAACCAGCATAAACCAACAAAGATGTTTAAGCTGTTTTTTACGATAGTGGTTCTGAACCCAAGCCTCCCTCGTTTGTTCTCTGAGGAGAATAAAGACTCGGGTGTGTAATTGAATTCAGTGGCGGACAAAAGATTTTCCCTTTTGTTTCCTCTCTGGATTCACACTATCAGCCAATAGCAATAGGCATTATTACAGCGGACACGCCCTCGTGCCACAGCAGCCAATTACAATCGCTCTTATTACGGGTGACAAGATATTCGTTCCAATTACAATTACCAGAGCAGAGACAGAACGAGCGAGGAATGTAAGTGAAATCGATCGCATCTCCACACTGCTATCTGCAACTGCCAATTACAGGAGCTGTATTGAACCATTCTTCACTTTTATTCAATCTGTGAGTGTGTGTGTGTCAGTCGTGTAGAAAGACATGAAGAATGTAAGGGTTTCTTCAGCTATACACACATTTATGTACCAGCGGTTGATTACAATTAATTTCATATTTAGGTCAATCTAAATATGTTTTTCCTTCATTTTTTAATTTTTACTCATTTTCAGATGTCTTTTAGATTTTGTTTTACTCATTCCAAACCCAGACTTTAGAACCCATCAATAAAATATGAATATTATGAATTATGCATTTTATCTAATCTATAATGATCTGCACAACAAGTGAAATAAGCATCAACCATTTCAATATTTATTATACAAAAAGAAATATTCCTTTTTTTGTCTTTTTATCTATAAAGCACCAATGACCAAAGTGCTTTACACATATACCGGAAATAAAACCACATTCATCATAACACACTATGTGACAAAAGTTCAAATTATAGACAATACATATTTATATCAAATATAAAAATAGCAGAATAGCATCATTCCATCACAACCAACAATTCTGGCCTATTAGAGATTTATTTTTCTAAAGCTAGTTTACGAGAGGTGTCAGCGAGGAGATAAAATATAAAGAAAAATCAAGGTAAATATCACTATTTTTATTGTGTGCTACTTCTAATCCAGCTGTAATTTGGTGCAAGTATGCAGAAAATGTGAAAATATGATTTTAAGATTGTATTTAGGACACATCAAATGCTAACTGGAAGATATGCAGTTTAGAATGACAAAAGTGGGCATAGCTGAAGAATCGCCTATATCTGTACAGTATGTGAAGCTAGTTTGTGTTTCCGTCAATGAACATTCATTATGTGTGTGTGTGTGTGTGTGTGTGTGTGTGTGTGTGTGTGTGTGAATGGAACGTCTCTCGGAGTCTTCAGAGTAGATTGCGTTTGCTCCGTCAGTTTGCGCTCGTAATGAAGCTCCTTTAATAAATGATGCCGAACACATCTCATTGTGTTGCATACGGTTCACGCTTGGGTTAACGTTCTGTGAGCGTTTCTCCATATTGTGTTTAGTGTCGTGTGCTGTTATTTGTTCTGTTAATACATGTTTCTGTTCTTTTTCAATGCGGGCATGTAAAGTCAATCAGGTCCGATCATAAAATCCTTGATTTCAGCCTGTAGAACCAGACCGGCGCTCTCATCCCCTAAGGACTGCCGACTTCATTAGGTTGGAGTCAATTTCAGACGGACAACTCTTCTCTGAACAGAACATTAAGTTAAGGTGCACATAATGAAGTCCTGAAGCAGGAGGCATGGGTCTGTATCGGTCTGGATCAGGTCTAACAAGAAAACACACATCGCTGCTCCCAGACCTGTCAGGAATCACGCGGCAGCTGTCGGGAAGCACTGGGGATTATGGGCCGTCATTTAAACAACGTTTCCAGCCAATGATGTGCGATCAAGCCCTTCCACAGTGATTCCCAACATTCAGTGCATCTGTTAGAGATCAATATGCACGGCAATGTCTTTAAAGAAGCGAGCGCTCAGTCTTACCTGTCGCAGGTTTCGCGTGACTTTAACATCGTGCCAAGCGTTGTCGTTAAACTTCCCGTTCACCGGTTCCACGAGCGCCTCGAAGGCGCCGGAGCCCAGGTTGATGACGAGCCAGACGGCGCCGCTCTTCAGCGACAGGTTGACGTAGTCTGCAGATTTCCCGGTGTGAAGCATCAGACCGTTGCGCTGGAGCGTTCGGAAGGACAGCGTGATCTCATCCGTGCTGCTCTGGATGGGAGTCATGGACAGATCGTAGCAGAAGAACTCGGTTCCCTTGAAGGTGGCCACCGATTCTTCTTTCCCTGCAGAGAGAGAGAGAAATAACATGAGCATTTCCACCAAATGATGGTGCATCTACACGATGTCCAGCAGCGTTATTGCATGCTGCATCACACTGGAAAAATCCTGCTATGAAAACATTGGCGTGTTTGTGTGTTCCCAGCAAGATGTGTTTAAATAAACTTTATTTATTCTAAGAGAGTCAATAAATTTCAAGCATTTTAACTCCCACATTGCTTTGTGGATTCAATGCAACTCATACGCACAATTTAGCTTGATTTTTATTAGCTTTGCATGTATTTGTTCTAACCGTGTTGAATACTTGTGAGAGTAAGGCTCAGAGCGAAACTCTTATTCCCAACCGCACCGACCGCAGACGTTCTCTCGGGAAACACGCAGCTCTCAAGAATAAACAGTTTTTCTTTATGTTTCCGCTGCTGTATTTTTCATGACGCGAGCATCCTGAAGATGATATATCAGGACATGTCGTGTTTCTCTTCGGGAAGACGGGATTGCCGTATTCATGAGTGCTCTTTGCAAATGTAACTATCCTCATGAGAAGAGCAGATGAACTGAAGTCTGCAGCAAAAAGCCCAGAGTAACTGCATGTACATTTATTCATTTGCAGAAGCTTTCATCCGAAGTGACTTACATTAAGCTTTCGCGCAGGTTCGTTCCTCCCGGAGAAACCCGAGGTCAAGCGCTGCGCTCAAGGGCACAAAACAGTGTTTCAGAAGAATTTAAAGAGTTCAAACCTACAACCTTTTGGAAGTCTGCCCAGATCTTTAACCACTAAACCACAGCAGCGCATTAATGTTTTAATGTTTGACTTAATTCAGGTTCAGATGCCGCAGCTCTTCTGAGCTTTCATGTAAAAGCTTCCTGGATTGTGTTGTCATGACACTGATTCTGAGAATCTTGCAAATATTTTAATGCTTTAGTGATTTGTTTCAGTTTTCTTCATTAATTTGCCCTGGAGTGTTTCCTTAAGATGTAGAGCACATCTAAACTACACACACACACACACACACACACACGCATGCACGCACGCACACACTCCCACAAATCCGTCCTTACCAAAATAAATAAATAAAAATGTTAGAAATACAGATAATGCCTGAAGCAATTTCAACTCTCTCTCTCTCTCTCTCTCTCTCTCACACACACACACACACACACACACACACACATGAATAATACCAATAAAACTGGAAACATTGTAAAAACCGCAATTACAGGGTCTGTGGTGTTTTGTATGTTGTTTGTTCTGGACGCAGCTGAACTACAGATGCTTTGAAAAATAAATAAATATATCATTATTTCTATTGTCAATAAAACACATTTGACTGAAACTCAATGTGAATGTGCTGTAAACATCAGTGTTTGTGAGAAATATATACTGTAGCCTACAGTTACGTTATTTTTGTATATACTGCATATACTGCTGTGTTTTCATTCTTTTTTTTTCCAGTTTCAAAGATTTTTTATTCATTTTAAATGTATATTTTGATTAGTTCCTTGAAACCTTACGTCATAAGTTAGTCATCGTAGAGAAAGACCAGCAGCTCTAGCTTGGTTTCAGTCTGAAGTTTAACGCTGAACAGCACGTGTAACCAATAAATAAAAAGAGACTGAGTTCCATCAATCTAAAAAAGAACTGACCAATCATGATTTGGTATGCAAATGAAAGTAAGAGAGGCGACCAATCAGATGGCAGGATGATCCGAAACAGTCAGTTTTGTGTGGTGCTGAAGGCCAGGATCAGTCTGGATCCGTGTATAATCGGTGTCTCTCCCGCTGCACCTTTCACTGGGCTGTGAGCTTTAATACAGGCTGATCCCGGCGCTCCAGAGTCTCGGATAAAGCCTCTGTCTGTCTGTCTGTCTGAGAAAACCATTTCTGGAATCTGCATCTGAAATAGTATTGAGATGTATTTACACAGTTTATGTATCTCAGAGGGGACATGGATGCATTTAAACTGCAGTTACAGATGCATAAATAGGCCTAATGTTTTGGTTTTAACATAAAACGTTGAATACTGATATTTGAAATAATTTAAAACATGAAAAAATAGTAGAAATGAAAACCGCCAGTAGGTGGCAGCAAGTGACTGTTAATGAGTGAGTCATTGAGATTCAACCGATTCATTCAAACGACTGATTCATTCAGGAACAAAGCATTTGACTGTGTTAATGAGTGAATCACTGAATAATTTATTCAACCGATTCATTGAAACGACTGATTCACTCAGAAACAAGGTATTTGACCGTGTTAATGAGTGAATCACTGAATAATTTATTCAACCGATTCATTCAAACGACTGATTCATTCAGGAACAAAGCATTTGACTGTGTTAATGAGTGAATCACTGAATCATTTATTCAACCGATTTATTCAAACGACTGATTCATTCAGAAACAAGGTATTTGACCGTGTTAATGAGTGAATCACTGAATAATTTATTCAACCGATTCATTCAAACGACTGATTCATTCAGAAACAACGTATTTGACCGTGTTAATGAGTGAATCACTGAATCATTTATTCAACCGATTCGTTCAAAAAGCTGATTCATTCAATAAGTAAACACCATCCATTGCTCAGAGACGCAAAACAGTGCTGTGATCTTTGTTCGGAACTATTTTCGTTAGCAAAATTGAGCAAAAACAAGCAATATTATGTCTAAAATGTAAGTCACTTATTGTTTTACTGAACTTGTATAAAATGATGATTAAATGTGTTCATTCTGATATCTGCAGAAAAACATACTCTTTGTGTGATATAGATTAAGTTAACTATATTAAATTATATAAATATAAAAAGCATACAGAAGCATTTTGCCGTATACAAATTAGAATGCCTGGAATTTTGAGTTTTAATAGACTAATAAATCACGTGCGTGCACTCTGTGTGTGATTTGGTGATTATAGCCTACTTGATAATGTCAGATCGCACATCATTACAACAACACTTAACATATCATCGCAGAAGATATACTGTATATCGCACACTCCAGACTCGACTTGAGTGGAAAATGAATCACCTGCGGTTGTGCGCGCACTTGTTTGCAGATGAGCAAAGGTGTTTTTATGAGTCCAACTTGCAAACGCCAGACCACTGATTCGTCAAACATGCTTTCCTGCAGTCCGTGTTCTTCTGACTCTTGACTCTTTTGTAGTAAGTAACGAATATGCTTCGGGGAAATGTATCAGAGTAAAAGTATACTTTTTAATTAGAAAATGTAATGGAGTAAAAGTAAAAGTTGGCTGAAATATAAAAACTCAAATAAAGCACAGATACTCCCAAACAATACTTAAGTACTGTAACAAAGTATTATTACTTCGTTACATTACACCACTGCCAAACATAAACATCTACAGTCACAACAGGTCTAAACAAAAACCTGAGTCTGTCCTATAATCAGTGGAGCCGTTCACACTGGAACACAGTCGGCAGTGAACACTGGGGTCAGATCATCTTATGATGATCATCAGAGGGTACAAATGTTAAATCTTAATCTCTGATTCCTACAATTTAGAATGCCTGGAATTTTGAGTTTTAATAGACTAATAAATCACGTGCGTGCACTCTGTGTGTGATTTGGTGATTATAGCCTACTTGATAATGTCAGATCGCACATCATTACAACAACACTTAACATATCATCGCAGAAGATATACTGTATATCGCACACTCCAGACTCGACTTGAGTGGAAAATGAATCACCTGCGGTTGTGCGCGCACTTGTTTGCAGATGAGCAAAGGTGTTTTTATGAGTCCAACTTGCAAACGCCAGACCACTGATTCGTCAAACATGCTTTCCTGCAGTCCGTGTTCTTCTGACTTCTGACTCTTTTGTAGTAAGTAACGAATATGCTTCGGGGAAATGTATCAGAGTAAAAGTATACTTTTTAATTAGAAAATGTAATGGAGTAAAAGTAAAAGTTGGCTGAAATATAAAAACTCAAATAAAGCACAGATACTCCCAAACAATACTTAAGTACTGTAACAAAGTATTATTACTTCGTTACATTACACCACTGCCAAACATAAACAAATCAATGCCATCGACTCACTGAAACCCCTCAGGCAGAGGCAGACGGGGGAGGGACCTGCACTCTAAACAGGCTAATGTGATTGGCTGGAGTGTTGAAGATTCAGCAATGTGATTGGATGACGGCTGTGTCATTATTGTGAGTGATATCCGATCTATGGCGGTTAATTACAGCAAAATCATTACTGCAGTGATGATGTCATGCTCAACTGAAGCAAACGAGCACAGCTTTCACTCTATACTTGTGATCCTGCAACAATAAATAACAATCTGACATGCAACACCATCAAACTGTGTTCAAATGAATTTACTGACGTCCTTATTTTTAATCCAGTTTTGTTGTTTAAATGCCAGAACGTTTGTCAGTCTGACCAAATAATAAGTGAAGACAGAGATTTTCCGATCACTGATTCATTCATCATCCACACACACACACACACACACACACACTCCTCTACACACACACACACTCTCTCACACACCCACACACACACTCACAGATGCATTTAAATGACAAAGAGTTTCTTTCTTTAAGAAGGACAGAGTGAAAAATGACACTGACAGATTGATTGATCAGTGTTTCAGTGTTTCGAGAAAACTCATAAAATGCTCCATATCTCTCTTTCATTCTCTTTCAGTGTGAAACAAATCATCTCTCTTGCTGTTGTGCTTCTGAAATTGACAATTTTCTATATTTTTATCTCTGTTGCACATATATATATATATATATATATATATATATATATATATGTGTGTGTGTCCACCATTTGTATACATCCTATCCTGAATACTGTACATCTATTTTGGTGAAATAAAACAATGTGTGTTTATATATATGTGTATAAATAATATAATGTGTTGCAATTAATTATAGAATAATAACATGTTACATTGACGCAGCGCCCCGTCCAGACCTGCTGCTGATCACGATGGAGAATGACTGACTGACTGTGTGATGGAGTCTATTAG